TGTGCCGCATGTGCGGCGCGTGGCACGCCTCATGGACATGAAATATACCAATCAGTCGCCGGTAAGTGCCATCCCAGTTGAGTCAGTTGTGGGTCACAAATTAAGCCTCTGACAGCTCTTGCAGCGTGCGCGCAATCGTCACCTGATGTTGGGCTTCCAGCAGCTGCAGTCGTTGCAGGAGCTATATCCATTCTTTTCCACGCTAGGCATTAGCTGCCCCAATCCGTGCAACTATGCCGACACGGAGCAGAATGTGGCCAGTTGCCTGCAGGAGATTGAAGATGTTTTGGCCCAAGATTTTCTTGAGAAATTGCCGAGCATCACAACGCCCAGATGAAAACTGGTCGCGGCCTACAGGCAGACGACGCAGGCGCACATCCAGACGAGAAGCCTGACACAGTTCGAGCTGGAGCTGAATCTGGGCGGCAACGGTCAGACGGCGCGCATCTTTGCGGCGGTTCAAGCGAAACTGAGCAGCCAGAACGCGGAGACGAGCTTCATGCAGACAACCAAGAAGACCAACTTTCCATTTTACGTTTAGAGAGTGAGCCGAGCGATACGATAGCTAGTTAGATAGTGCAGTATAGTATATATATATATATAGCCGACTATGTGTATTAATGAATATTATGTTTTAACTGTTGAGTAAGTCCTATGAAATGTTTAGCTTAGTAGCAACTTGTATGTATGTATGTGTATATTTCAACTGTTGATAGCTGCGCCGAAGTAAACGACAAATTGCAATTCAATAGAGCTCTAGCAGTATTTAATTACAAATATTTATTTTGTATATATAAATATGTATAAAACGAAGGCACACGGTAAACTCTTAAATTAAACAATTGCCGGCAAATGCAACCAAAATGAGGAGAGATTCACACGAAATGCGAACACCTGGTCGATTCAAACAACCACCGAATGCTGCGGCGGACTGCCCTGGCGATTCTTCAGCTGCAGGTGGTACGAGTACACGATGCGTGCGCAGAACAAGCAAATAACTGAAACGAAGATATATACATATAATATATGTAGATCAGGAGTTCGAAGAGCTACTTACGCATCACAACAATGTAAAAGAGCAGCGCCAAGATGACATTGTTAAAGCCCGTCGCCTCGCGATATCCACCAAAATGGAAGATCGTACCGAATACGGCAAACGGAAAGTTGATGGCTATTAAGAGGGCGTAGATCAGCCAGATGCCGACCAGCACATGGTTATACTATAAAGGGAATCAAGAATAGATCTTCATTTATTAATATACATATGTTTACAGCTGGAAGATGTAGAAAGTTTATTATCATCAGCAAATTAGTATAATTAATGCAAAGAGCAAACATTTTGTAGGCACGACTGCTAAATACCCTGTAGTCAGTTTAATACTAGCTGCAGGTTGTGAGTCTTTCTAACCCAATCTTTTAAGATCATAAGTAGTCAATTGTTAAGATACATGTGTTAACTGGCATGAAAACAACAGGGTATTAACCGGTTGGCATTCAAAATATCAAATTTCCTTAAGAAATTTTGAATAGTAGAAGAATTTGAATTTCTCGGGAATATTAGCTGCCATTTCTGAATGGAATACCTTTGTGAACTCACGACGATTGATTCGAATTTTTCAAAAATAATAATGGGTGACATCACAGTTGCGAAAATGCCTAATTCTCTGATATCATCGAACTGCAGCGCTTAAATACTGGGAAATATATATATGTATATGTATGCATGTAAATACCTATATTTTTATAGGTTAACTAACAGAGTGTGTCGGTAGGCGTGACCGCAACTGTTATACTTAATGTGTTATGGGCAATGAATAAAATTCAATTCATAGGAACAGATGTCTACTCCACGAAACCTATATGCCCGCTTTGCCTGTGGGAACAGATTATATAGACGGCTTCTTCGTTTTGACTTTTTGCAAGAACTGCAAATTTAACACTTGTTGCTCTCAATAACAGAAATGTATATGTATGTGTGTGTGTGTGTGTTGTGCAAATTTTTCTTCGCACAGTCAGCAGAGTGTAGAACATTTTTAAGAGCAATCTTAACTTCTAGATATGGCTTATCAGGCGTACAAATAATTGCTACTGCTTGGACCGGAAATATCAAAGCTTAAGCATTAGCCCGACATATTATATATTTTAAAAAAATTATCTTCAATAACATTAACTTACCCGCAGGCAGCCAATAAGCAGGCAAACATTGGCAATGACCGCAATTGCGAATCCAATAAAAGTCAGAGCTGGAAAATAAGAATTAATCTCTGTGTGATCATCACTTTATTCAAACTTGGCATCACAGTCGTTTAAATTCCAAACTATCTATGTAATTTTGAAAAAAACAAACGAAAAACTAAACGAACAAAATAAAACAGTCGCCCTTGTCATGAGAACACGTTTCGAAACGCCTTCTATAGAGAAGTATTAGCTCATACTTTATATTTACGTATATAGGTGTCTGTGTGTGTGTGTGTATTGAAACATATACACATACACACATATATATATATATGTAGACTGTGTGACCGTTGGAAATGTACATATGTATTTGTGTAGAATGGTTGGAAACCAAAACATATTCATGTGAACATAAAATTTAAACGAATGTTGTAGCATATATATGTATATTTATTTACATATAAAAAGCCACAAAAACTTAACATATGTATATTCTCACTCACCCGACGGCGCAAATAGCGTATTTAGTGCTATGGAAATTAACGTATAGATAGCTATGCCCAGACACCAGCTGCGTAGCTCTGTATCGCATGGTCCACGGTCTACGGTTAGCTCGAATCTCATTTTCAGGCCTGGCTTATAATGTGCGCGGCAACGTTGACAAAGTTTTCAGTTTTTCCCGAATCGAAGCGGAACGGATCGGATCGCGACGCACAACTCAAACACAAGCGAAGCGCGCAACAGGCGAACAACAACTGACAACTGACGCGTCTCCACATTCTGCTACGCCCCACATTCATCTCCCCAACCGGCAATAGAGATGTGTATAGCGTGCATTAGCATGTATGTATATGTGTGTCATGAGTCAGGAGTACAGTAAATGAGCGTGTTTACGGTTCCCCTGAGAGGCGTTTATAACAATTTGATGTGTGAAATGCACAGTTCATATAACACAAATATAACAGTTATTCATTTTTTGAAATTTCGCTAAACAAGCAAAAGCATTTTTGCAACAGTCTGGCAATACAGTCACGGCTTAGTCACGCTGATAAATGTAGCTGTGAATAACCTCCTATTTAGTGATAATTATGTATTTGTTTTGTGCTGATAAAAGTGAATTGTTGTGACTTAAAGTTATTAAATTTATTGCATTTTCATTAGAATTTAGGTGGAGCGCGTTACAAACAAAGAATACGATTGTAAAGCATAAAAATAAATGATTCAATTATCTTGTACGCGACTTATAGTTCACATCACATCTGTGCTCAGTTTGCGCAAGAGGCACAGCATCAATGTTTTGCTTGTGATTCGACAGTGTCATCCCATTATAAAGCTTGCCAGTTACAGTTAACGTTGCTGCGCATTTCTCATACTGCATTCATTCTCAATTGCGACGTGTAGGAAGCAACTACAAATTACTGACCGAAGTTCTGTGTAAGTGTATATGTGTATATGTGTGCTTGTATGTGTTTGCGTTGGAATTTGATTTCATTATTCATTACATATTTTCTGATTTTGTTTTTTGAATTCAGTTTATTTCAAATTTTGTAATAAACAAACGTTGAAAATGATGGAAAGGGTGTGCTGCATGCGCCTAAGCACCGCCGGCGTCGTCCTCGGATGGATTGGTGTTGTGTCCTCTTTTGTGCTGACAATTCTGTTGGCCACCATATTGGGGAACGCCGATGTGATTGCTCGCAGCATTGTGGGTAACATGACTGAAGACGCAGTGAAATATGATGAAATTCACATGGGTAAGTGCATTATAGGGAAAACCGACAAGTGCAAAGTGCATTAAAACTCCCATTAAATCATATATTTGCAGGCTTAATCGTGTCGTGCAGCGTCTACTTGGGCATTTTTGTGCTAAATTTGTTGGCATCGGGCATGCTTATCTTGGGCACAATGAAGGTGAGTGAAGCAGAGATGCTGCACATGTGTTCTGTTATACTATTATATATGTATATTATTTTTTTTGTCTATTTGCCTACTTGTGCATTTGTATGTCCGTCTCTTTTACTCTAATGCAGGAACGTCATTTGATGCTGTTGCCCTGGCTGATCAACTCTGGCGTTGGACTCATATTTAGCATTATATATCATTTCGTCGTATTGATCTTAGCGCTGACCGGTGGCCAGATCGATCGTATTGTTCCTGTGTTGATAGTCACATTCATTGGGCTAGGTAAGTCACAATATTGTTTCCCAGTGGGGAACTCAATGCAATCTTAATTTTGCACTCACACAGCCAAGTGCAGATGTGCACACATACTCATACGTAATTGTCATACTGATAGCCTGCTTTGCCGGCTCTGTGTACATATGTATTACAGACGCTGCTTATCGTGCGCTTATTGTTATACATCAAATTGTATATACACACATACATACACGTATACTGTACTAACTGCGCATTGCTTGTTCTCTTTTAGGTTTGCATATCTACATTTACTGCGGCATCTATTCGCTGTTCAAGCAGATTCAGCTTACCCGAGAGCAGCAGCAGCCGCTGATTAACCAGTCTCAGGGCGCGGATGTGCCCGCTCAGGGAAACAGTTATCCCAGCTATACCAAAATCTAAACTCCTTAATAACGAACAAGCGAATGTTGCCGACCGGGAAGCGATCGGGAATCCTTGGAAACGAAAATCATATTGAATGTTTCATGTTAAACCCCATATATATATATGTATATGAATATATGTGTGCACAGGGTGCACGCGTACTGTCGTAATAATCGTATATGTTGTAACAGCATCGAATATTTTTTTTGCTATTTTTCCGGGCATTTTTTAATGCTTGCCTTTAAATATAAATATATCTATATATATATATATATGTATATGTACACACAGATAAGAATTTGAAAAGTTGGGAAGCGGGCAAGCTGGAAATGGATCTCAATCGTTGTAACCTGTGGATGCGGCAGCTTATGGTCATTTGCCCAGGCCCAGCCACATGTAGCTGGGATCAATGAACTGGGAGCCACGATATCCATTGGGATTGCGTGATACCAGCGAGCGTACCTTCTGCGAGGGTCGATAGCTGCGTACGGATTGCAGCAGCTTGGATGTCTTACGATCAGGCGGCTGGCCGGAATCATAATCGTCATGCTCTTCCTTGTCGTCGTCGTCGTCGTCCTTCTGCAGCGGATGCGGATGCACGCCCTCGAGCAGCTGAGATTCCGCCTCGCCCAGCTGCTGTGAATGCTCCGCAAAGTGCACGTTCGCCTTCAGCTGGTTGAAGAAGTCGCCCAGATTGGTCATGACTCCTGGAAAAGAATGTGGCACTTAGCAAAACGTGGCGCCCTCCACATCTGGCATTTCAGCTACCCACCAGCACTGATGGAGGGCCTGTACCGTGGACCCTTCTGCTCGGACGGTTCACGTTTATGTTTACGTTGTTGCTTCTGTCTGGTGCGGGAGTAGACGGAGCCTGGTTGCTGCAGCTCGTCCTCGCTGGGTGGCCAAAGCTGAGTGCCACTTGTCTGTCTCGCTGTGGAGTCATCAGCCGGAGATTGCAGGTCGTCCAACCATGTCCGATGCAACTGCAGCTCCTTTAAATACTTATCGTAGCGTTGATGCCCAAGACGCCAACCCTTGTTCAAGCTCATCGGAAGCAGTGGGAAATTAAAAGCCTTCACCAAGGCATCGTCGAATTCGGGCGCCATTTCCACAGCCTCAATTTTTGGCAAAGGGCTTCCGTTGTCAAGAAAATCGCCGTAAGAGTTTTTCGATGTGCCCGCCGGCCAGTTCCAGGTCGCCAGCGCGTCCTCCGCCTCCGCTTCGATGGGCGCCTGGCGCATTGGCGCCGCTGTGCAACAAAATAACATTAATTTGTGTGTGGCCCCAGGGATTCATATTTTCTGGAGCCTGCAAACGGATGTTCAATTTCCGCTCGGGCCCTGCAGATTTTAATTGCCGATATATACACATATACAATACAATTAATTGAAGGTCAATCGTGTTAATCTGACATGGATATATGTGTGAATCGAGTCAAAAGGTGAATGAAAGTCGGGCTCATGTGGTTAGATTTCCACGCTGTTGCCTCTAAATTTTTTTCAGATTTTATAAATGATAACATGTATATATATATATATATATATATAGTAGGTAAATTGATATTTGCGCTGCTCGTGCTACAGCTAAAAAAATAGATTCGGCACGCCGAAGATTTAATACCCTTGTGACATTTGTCGCACGGCTGAGTTCGGTGAAAATGTCGTGGGAAAACAGAAAGAAAGAAAGATTCTTCCTGTAAACACAATATTTTGTGGCTATATAGAATATTATAATATAATGTAATACATATATATATATAAATTAGTTAATGCCCTATTTGCACAAAATATCTTGTTCTTATAAGTACTTCATTTCCAGCCGATCGTTCCGATGACAACTATATATTAAAGTGATCCGATGTTAATAAGATAGGCATGGTAAAACCAATATATGTCAAGTTTGCTCAAGATATTTTGATGGAAAAAAAAGGGTTTTTTTCGAGAACCTACTTTTCGACAGATTGCACCAAGCGCAGCTATATATATAGTGGTCCGGGCGGATCTCTGACCCATGTAAAGATTCAAGGCGATAGCCTTGAGCCTGAAAGACTTAACCGTTGCTGCTGATCAAGATAATATATGCTTATTGGGTTACATTTTGCATGACAAACTTATTATACCCTCCACAAGAGTATAATAAATAATCGAAATGGGTTTTCCCTCAGTGCGCAACTAATGGGCATTTCCGGTTTATCTCTACAGTGTATATATGTACTTGATTTTAAACAAAAAATATGCACCGATATATATATATATACGTATATATATATATAGGTATATGTATGTGTACTGTATGAAAACATGCCCAATTATAGGGTACCAGCAGAGATGAGTAGATAATTGAGAGCTTATACATATAAGCTATACATTTGCACTAACGGAAAACTAAATTAATTTGTATACGCTAGGCAAATACTATTTCCTAAGTCAATTGAGTTAATGTTAAACGTGATAAATGTTTTATTTTGTTTTATTTAAAGCCTTCAGTAAAGAGCTGCATGGACGATTAGAAAAGATCAGGGATCGTCGTGGATTAATAATTTACTGAGAAATATATATTTGACTTTTTCTTTTCAAAAATATCAACTATATATGTACAGACTCTGGCATTTGTATGGAAATCGCCTAGTTTGCACAATGCTGCCTTTTTGTACATACATATGTCTATCACATTTCTTCCGCGAACAGTTTTGCTCTTTTTGTTTGTCACTTTTTCAATTCTCGTGAATTAGATTACGATTAGATTTATTTACTATGTGCAGCCATAGGCTTTAGGCGCGAGTTGTATTGGAAATATAGGGTTGATATTTGAAACTAGTTCTGAATGATCTAAAATGGCTAGAAAGCTGAAATTTGTATTTCACCCGCAAGCGTGAAAAATTCACGGAAAACGTTCGCATGCAACTTTTCTGTTTTACACTTTGCGGAACATTCTAGGGAAAAGTTTAAGTTTCAAGCTCATATTAATTTCAGTACGTTAGAAGAGAATCAAAATTTCTTACTTAATCGATTTTTTCACTTGAAAAACGTAATATAAATTATATAAAATATTGCTCACGTAAATAACAACTATTTGGGAAAGCTTGGCTATGCCTGCTAGTTAAAATTATAAACATTGAAACTTAAGGGATCTTAACTCAAAATCGTAATAATAATAATAATGAATGCCAAAACTTTCAGAGAGAATCGGGCATTTGCTAGGCTTTAATTCCGATCAAACTTTTCGAAATCGAAACTGATTTCACTTCGATTCCGATAAGATCATTTCGATTGTAACTTTCACTTTATTAAAACTAGCTTATGCGAACATGCAAAAATCGGTCTTAAATATATATTTGGCATATCTCACCTGCCATTACGAGCATCAACAGTAAAATGCATCGCCTGGAGCTTAAGATTGGAAGCGACATTATTGGTGTTATTTTAATTGTGGGCCTTATAGGGATACTCGGCCTTGGGCTAAAGTGTTGTTAAGCACATTATGTTGGAAGTACACAGAGTTTTGAAAGCACAGCTCAGGGATGGGAGCACGAGATCGAATTCCACAGCGTGGCAAATGGCAACTAACGGCAGAGGCGACACTCTGGTGCGTTTTTATAGCGTCCAGAGCGCATCCTGGCCAGCGTGCCGAGCACCTGTTGTCCGCGCCTCGGCTCAGACGGCACGACAACGAAGTCGCAGGTGCCTTGCGGCAGCTGCTGAGGGGTGAGGGGTGAACCGTTGACAGCAACAGCTACAACTACTTTGCCGCTGCTGAGGACATGCGCAGCAGACGCAGCCGCAGCCGTCGCATTAGCTGACTATTTGAAACGCGACTCGAGCTTTGGATATTGGCTAATATGCATGGCAATGGCAATTGGCCAATTGGCGAGTGGGTGGCCCACCTTGGCGATGGCAGCTTTGGAATACCCATTCAGCTCCTTTTGCAGTTGTTAAGCGCCAATAAGGCTCAGGTGTGCCAAAAGGTACACAAGTGCGACACAATTATCCAGCCCTATTGCGTAATCTCGTTGTCATATGATATACGAGCTCAGTTCTTTCAACTTCAACTGATTGCTGCTCCCGGCTGCTCCTGGCTGCCCCCGGCTGCCCCCGGCTGCCCCTCTCGACTGTTCCCAATGTGACGCAAAAGGCTTTTAAAAATTCACAGCATTTACATAATTGGGTCAGTGGCTGGCGGTTTTGTTAGCCATCATTGTTTGACTTGGCCTCCGCTTTGTTGTCGTGCATTCTGCATATAGCATCTCCGGTCGCCTTTGAGCCCAGCTCCTGACTTCTTTTACAGCAGCAGCAGCAGCTGCAGCAGCTGCAGCAGCACGACCTTGATGCTCGCTGCTGCTCGGCAATCTAATTGGATTTGTGGGCAGCGGCGGGTTCTTTGTGACGCGCCCGGCGAGCTAATGGCCAGCAACGGCAACTTTCGCAAAAAGCATTTAAAAGTTTTTAAACACTTTGTAAATTTGCCTACTTTCCTGTAATTTTATTTGTGCTGCAACATTCCAGGAAAAACTGTTGCAACGCACCCATACATAAATATGTCAATTTGCATCATTTGACGTTCGACGTGAAAGCAGAAAGAAAAGCTAGTGCAAGAAAATTGATTAACTGCCTGAAAGTATGCAAGACTTTTCGGCGTGGTACGGATTTCTACATGAAATTCTTGTTGTGTATAAGCACTGCTGGAAAAACAGTTATATTTTCAGAGCGGACGTGTATGTACTGTAGCAGAATTATTTGTTATTAATTTCTTTATATTGCTTAAACATTTCATATTCATATCTGTTGTTAAGAGAAAAATGTGGATCAGTTTCACATTGCATACAAAACAAACACCCTGTTAGCAGTGCATAAAGAATTTCAAAAGCTGTTGCATCTCTACAGCTTTAAAAGCTTTGCCTATGAACAGAATATCAAAAGCTACGCGCGTATTCAAAGTCTGCCTCGTAACAGTTAAATAATGCCATTTTGAGTATAACAGCAACAAGTAAACACAGCTTAGCATAGCTGTTACTTTACAGCGAATATGCTTACAGCTTTGAATATGTGTTAAACTGCTCTAACGGAAAATCATTCTAACAGCTTATTCTAAATAATTGTATAAAAGTTTGATTTATAACAGACAAACTTATTTGCTGCTTAAATTATAATCAAATAATTTATATAATAAGCTATTTATAACATTTTTACAACAGGACTAGTTCGTTTTATGGCAGCTGCATAGGCTAAATATGTCAATATGCCAATTAAAAATAAGGGTTGACTGCTTCTAATGTTACTTATTTATGCGTATGTGCCTTTTTGAACATATAGAACAGTTATTTATTTAATGACCCTCGCTCAGCATTGGCGACCATCTGCGCTCTACGCCTCTGTCTCTGGCTCTGGCTCACTCACGTTCTTCGAGTCGAGCAGCCGATGCGTACGTCGCGCTCAGTTGCGTTTGAGCTTTCGTGCCGTTCAGTTGTTGGCCGCGCAGAGTTGTCAAAGCCAACGAAGTTGTTCACGCGACGCTGGCAGCAACAAAATAACTGGCTAAACAGTAGTTAACATTTTCAGTGTGTGCGTGGAGTTAATGCTGCAATACCAAACGGCATAAGGACAAAGTTTGGCCAAAAACAGTTAAAGAGTTAATGCAAAGCACAGCACCGCTGCTAAATTAAAGTTCAGCTACAAATCCAAAACAAGGTGCGGCAGTAAGTTAATGTGAATATGTGAAAAATATTTAGGGGTAGAGGAGTTTGTATGCGGCACATGCCGCTGCACTGCCCAAAAAAAAAAAAGAAAACTCCAGTGTCATGCGCAGACGCAACAAAAACATAAAACGGCTGTTTCACACATTTTCCCGCGCTGCGGCAGGTTGACGACCCGCAGCGCAAAAATAAAATAAAAAAAAATGCCGGCACAGGCCGAGCAGCGATAACAGGCAGAGTATGGCGCGACCCAGTCCCAGGCCCCAACTCATCTGCGAGAGTCTTTTATTGGCCATTGACAAACCAAACGAAGGCCCAGAACACACATTGATTGCGGCACACGCGACGTATACGCAACGCGCTGGAAATCGTTGCAAACGCCTGTGGGCTGTTGTTTACCTGGCCTCCGCTACCTAGCCAGGTAGCCAGCGCCACCTACAACCACATCCACCATATTTGGCGGTGCTCTTGTGTACTTCTTTTGGCCTAGCACGCATTGGCACTTGAGCGCGTGTTGGGGGCGCTTCAAGAGGGCCGACAACAGTTCAATATGAAAAGGTGCTAAACATTCGTGCTGTAGAGTTAAGCCGCGAATTCAAGTAGACGAAATTTCGGTTGTCAAGAGGCAAAATGAAATCACATTTGAACTGTTCTGCAACTTTTTACTCTGAGAAAGTTTTCGAGCAAATTCTGCATCACAGCAAATATTTTCCTGTCCTGCTCCGCTCGGCTTGTGAATCTGGCTTATGTTTCCATCTGTGCTCGGGCTAAAAACTATAATTACCACATATTATTTTTTTAAATTTTTATAAAATAAATTCTACCCAAATATGGTTAGTTAAGTGCTTGGGTTCGCAGTCAAAATTATTTTTGGTTTGCTGTTAGATTCTCCTGAAGAGTTTTTTATATTTAACCTAAAAAAAATAATTGATTTAGTTCCGGTTTCCCTTTGATTTATTTGGAAAAATATTTTTGGTTTAGGTTTCGGTTCAGAGTAAATAAAAACTAAATTGGAATTCAGCTCCTTAAAAAAATATTTTTTTTAAACATAACTTTTATTTTTATTTGGGCAATATTAAATTTTTTATTTTTTTTATTAATAATAATTCGGTTTTCGTTTTAATCAAAAATATTATTTACCAAATAAAGTTTTATAAAATATAAGCAAAATATATAAATATTGGAGTACTTATCAATTATTTCAGGCCTAAAAAATGGCTTATATAAATTAAAATGTTTACCAGTTAGCCAGTTTATAAATAGTTCATTTGGTCAGATTCGATTGAAAGACATTGCTTGAAATAATTGCTATTCAGAAATAATTCTTGCCAACTTATTCATTGTTTTAAGCCGTAATTGAAGCTGAGTTGGCCGCTTATTTCCGCGGCATTGCTCAAGGGAATTGCATAGACAACAACTGGTTGACCTTGCTGCATGTAGAGAATTGCATAGTCGTTGTGATTAATCATCAATGAAGCGTGCAAGAATCAAGAAACAACTGACTCTTGCAATGTTCGCTTTTTATTTGGGCCGGGCCTCACGTGGAGCACAAAACTTGGCTCAAAAGATAACGAACAAGCGTATCAAAGAAAAGGCAATATATGTATAAATATATATGCATATGTGTAGATATTCTAATACAACTACGACCGGTTCAATGTTTGCACAATTTCTGTCGCCAGACGTTAAAATATTACTGAATGGCTTTTGCCTGAATTGACTGCGGCTCAAATGAGGGAGCCACATGAAGTCGTTAACTGCTTTCGGCAACGTGTGCCGCATTCGGTTCTGGCTTATTCGCTTTATTTGTTAATTTGAATTTCACACACAGCACACACATACACACAGCTTCAGTTTCTGTTGAACTTAAATTTTGTCGATTTTTTTCATGTGAAACATATTTTTGTTGCCATCGGAAGCTGGTTGATTATTTAAAGCTGACTTGTCAAGCGAATCTTTTCGAATTTGAGCTCCCAACTGGTCAGTTGTTGCGGTGTTTATATATATTTAGAAACAAACTGCAGCTGCATCCATTAACAACAATCCACTTCCTGTTCCTCTTACATTAGCGTGCTTATGCATAAATTTTAAGCGCCGCTTCCTTTAAGCTTATTTCATAAAGACGAAAGTAGTTAATTAGCACAGAGATGCAGTTAGAGAGAGATAGAGAGAGAGAGAGAGAGAGAGAGAGAGAGAGAGAGAGAGAGAGAGAGAGAGAGACAGAGAGAGAGAGAGAGAGAGAGTTAGAGAGAGAGAGAGAGAGAGAGTTAGAGAGAGAGAGTTAGAGAGAGAGAGAAAAACACATCTCCTAAAATATTCAAGTCTGGCGAACTCGAACTCTTTAGGGATTCTTCAATTATTTAGTGGCCCTTCTTTGCGATTCTCATGAATTCAAAAAGCCTCTCAGTTTTCTTGCTCTAATTATAAGTATTGTATTAACAAGCTAAAAGGCTTTTGACTTCATTCAACATTTTATTTACTGACAATTCTGTAGTTCTCATAACTACGTGTTTCTCCAAGTGTAGACCGCAGAACTGTTAGTGTTAGCCCGTGTTGGCTGTCACTGAGATGAACCGCAAAGCGTAACGGCAAACGGGGTCCCTCGGCCCGACCCTGGTGCAGTGCTTTGATTACGCGCACATTGCGCATACGCCAAGTGGCACGCACAGTTTTTTTTTTTGGGGAACTGACCCTCGCGTTCTCAAAAACTCAAAAAGTTGCATGCGAATTGGTAACTGTGACAATCCCACGGCTGATTCTGCTTCTGTGTCAAGTCCGTATTGCAACTGTTGCAATTGTGTGCAGTTGTGTGTGCGTGTGTGTGTGTGCGTGTGTGCGTGCAGTAATAAGCACCTAATGGGGCTTCTTTTTGCTAGGGTGCCTCTACGGGTGCCACATATTAACGGGCATTGCCCTCCCAGCACAATTGCGCCCTCAAGCATGGCATTTCGCCCGGGCTACGCATTTGCTGCTCTTGCTTTAAACTAAAACCAAAAATTGTCGTTAATTTGTTTCTGTGCAAAGTGAAATTTTTTATATGTGGGTTGCTTTGTTTAACTTGTTGTTGTTGTTGTTGTTGTGCTTGTCTTTTTGTTAATGCAGCGTTAAAATTCGTGACGTTGATTTCACACATGTCGCTGGCCGGCCGTCTGGCCACGTTTTGTTGACCCCAGAACTTTCCAAGCGTGTTATTGTTGGTGGGGAAGGTGGGAAGGGAGAAGGGGGGAGTGGAGAGGGCGCCTATACTTAATATGAGTACGAGCACAAATAATAAGCAACGCGCTTTTTCATTTATTTGCACAATCTGTCGATTGCATTGGGCTGTTTGTTTTGCATGGCCGCAGCCGCAAGTAAACATTCAGCACAATTTCGAGCCGGCCAGCGAAAGGGAAATATAAAAGCAAACAAGTTTGAAGCACGCATTCTATATATATATCATATCAGATATAAAGATAAACTAGAGTGAGCTATTTATTGATTTTTGAATGTATATGCATTGACAGTTATCTTATCTGACATTATGTATTGCTCAATATCTAATAACATTATTATTATTATTATTATTATTATTATTATTATTATTCTTATTATCATCATTATTATTATTATTATCATTATTATTATTATTATCATTATTATTATCATTATTATTATCATTATTATTATTATTATTATTATTATTATTATTATTATTAATATTATTATTATTATCATTATTATTATTATCATTATTATTATCATTATCATTATTATCATTATTATTATTATTATTATCATCATCATCATTATTATTATTATCATTATTATCATCATCATCATTATTATTATTATTATTATTATTATTATTGTTATTAGTATTCTAGTCCAGTCTTTGATTCAAAGACCTATCTTCTATTTTATTAATATAGTTTATGAGATTCTGAGCAACCGTTTTGAGATCCGGGACAATCTATAACTCTAAGAAGTCGTCTTCCGCACCTAAGCTTTCTTTTTCATTCATTTTATTAGCTAACTTTTTGACACTTCACTTTGACATCTTCACCCAGCTATACAATAAGGGCTATTAACATACTTAACATTAACATTACTTAACATTAACATGCTTAACATTACATTACTCATTAACATTGTTCGCTTTTAACTTGTGTCCATCCAAGCATTCGGCTTGGGAGATCTTTGAAGTGAACCCTGCGACGTCTCCATTGCTTTCTTCTGCAAAGTCTTCTGTCAGTATATTAGGGTATATTAGACAGTTATCATAGAAGGTTGTCCACCAAAGATTAATTAACTTCTGCATACGCTTTTTAACTTTGTTGCGCTCTCGTGTTAGGACGTACTCCCGCATATTTTGGCTTTTTATAGACTCTTTTTGCAACCTTGAATTGAATGCATTAAAACCGGGCTACGGAGCACACGGATTCGTTGGCCTAGCAAATGCGAAAATTGCATGTGTCAGGACATTTGGCCGGCTTCTACAATCGCATCCTGTGCAGCAGTAAGAGCTGTAACAAAGCGAGTTCAACCCAAATACGGCTGGGTGCAGCTTAACAATGCGGGGTAGCTGGAGTGGGAGTGGGAGGGGAGGGGCTGGCAGCGGGATTGTCGGCACTTAACCTACTTTGCGCAGCTATTTAGATGCTTTCTTTTCACTTTGACATGACCGAAAAGTCGAGCAGCTATGATCTCATGTCTGTGGCCCGCCCCGAACTGCGTGTGACCTAAATTTGGTGTCTTGTTGCTGTTGTTGTTTTAGGGGTGCCAGCAAAACAATTACATTCTATTGATTTTTACTTTGGCGACTTCATTTTAGCTGCAACTTCCGGCACTGCCAAATAAAAGACTGAAATATAATAGTGGGAAGCCTGCAGGAGCAGCTGCCCAAGCAAACAACCAAGGACCAAGCCGAAACTTACTTTCGGATATGTTTTAGACGCAAATCGCGATAGACTCGTGGCAAGCCGCAACGCAATGTTTCTGCCCGTCAAATCGAATCAGTGAGTAAACAGAAAATAAATATGAATCAAGTGCTTCCATTCATGTCGTTGCCGGAAACATCCCCCAAAAATACCGGATTGGGGCGAGTTTCGGCGTGAACAACCCTCAGCCCGCCGCTGGCGGCGTCTGGCGTCATCTTGTCGCCCCATAACCAACATCATCATCATCATCATCATCATTTGGGATTATACATGAAATTTGATTTAAAACGGCAACGTGTTTTTCCTGTTATCTTCCCTGTGCAGCTCCGCCGAGGCGAGTGGCAACAATGAGGATGTCACCACGACCAGCAACAATTCAACACAGACGCCCAGCGATCTGAGCCCGCCGGGTCCCAATGAGGAGGTGCTGCCGCAGGCGCATCATCAAAACCCAGGACACTGCATCGCCTCCTTTGCGGCCATCAACCAGATGCGCAACAATGCACAGGTAAGCGAGAACGTGGACGAATCTAATAATAATCCTTATGATATATTCAAGTTGACAGATTTATTTATATAATGTCACAGGATATCTATAAATTGCTTAGATAAGCGTAAGATATTGAATAATTTAAGGCATATCAGCTGGTCGAAGGACATGCAAAGGATTTAAAGTGTTTTATTATGGTTTAGTTGGCATTCAAGGACACAATCAAAACCTTTACATACGGCTCTTAGTCATAAAAATGGAGCTTAACTTAAACGAAAGTCCTTCAGCAAGCTCAAATAAATTGGCTTTCTTTAGAGCTCGGCCGTATCCTTGCGACATTTAATCTGATCGAAGGATATTCAAATCGTCTTGTTGCTATACGAGATATCAAGGATTTTCGACCCATATAACACGATGCGTCCTATAATGCAAATCGAAAGAGTTGGTCCTTGCGAGACAAACGCACTATATCCTGGAAAAAATCTGAAAGAGTTCCAGCCAAAGCTTTTCTACTAAACAGAACTTTATCTTTATAAATACGAATCGTGCGTATCTACAACTCGCCGGAGCCAAGATTATTGATTAGGAACTTCAAGTACTTTGAGCATATGAGCTGCGAGTAGCTTTCATTGACCTTAGCTTGGACGAAAGTCCTTTACATAACAGAACTAACTCGGCCGTATCCTTACGACTAGTGCTATCAGCTGGCCAAAAGGCCTTAAATTAATCCGGTTGGTTTCCGGAACTTCAAGGAATTTGTGTTTTTGGCTTGTTACCTTGACAGTTCCTTGCGAGTGCAGCTGAAATTGAAGAAGTCTACTCTGAGACAACTATCTTGTACTGCCAATCGCTAGAATAGGACCTTGATCTAGTCCTTCATTTGCAAAGAAGAAACTTGAGCACATGCCTATTTATGCATTTATATAATGTGCCAACTATCTATCGCCAGTTCAACCACTTTAACTGAATGAAATCTATTGCAGGGGCATCTTAGATAAGAGACCTTTTGTCCAATTAATGCCGTCTCTATTTAGCATAATTACAATTAAACTTAACCGGGCGGACAGCGTGATTGAGCCAAGCGCTCGCCGGCCCACATGGCGTATACATAATTTCACTAGCCATTAATTTGATATTTCAATTTTTTTTTGTTTTTGGGCAATTAATTGCCTGGTTGAGTGAATGTCGTGCCGCCCAGAGGGCAGCTGGGTGAGCTAATAGCGCAAATTGTCGTTTAGTTAAAAAAAAATATTTGCCCTGCGGGTGGTTGGCCTTAAGCCGACTCCATTCCCGCCCCCGTCGCATGACGTGTGCCGGCAAATTTAAATAAAAAAAAAAAACGAGAATTTGTAAATTGTTGCAAAGCCATTAAAAATAGATATTAATCGGGTGCACTGACTTGACAAGAGGCCGCTGCGTTATTTATGGAGAGGCTCGCACAGTGCCAGACTGAAGTTGAAGCGAATCACTTGTAAGGATTCAAGGGGAGGGCACAGTGGTTCAAAGCCGCGCAAAGCTTGAGCGAAAAATTAAAATGTTAAACAAATTTGCTAATCAAATATATTTAGGTCTGTTCGATTAAATTTGATTTTAAATCATTTTAAATGTTAAAGGGTTTAGGATTTTAATTTTTGAAAAGATTTGGAAGCATAATTAATAAAGATTTAAATGTTGAATTGTAAAAAAGAGCTGAGAATTATGTAAAATTAACTTTTAGATGTAGTGTTCCAGTTAGTACGTGTAGATTAAAATTTAATTAATTTATTAAAATTAATCGGGCTGTGAAATATTATACTAAATGTTAAATGGAGGTCCTGCATTTTGTCAAATGTTCGAACCACTGTGCCTTCGGTTTGCATGTGGCAGACTGTAAAATTGAGCACGTAGTGCCAGGACTTTGTTAATCGGATTTGGGTGAAAGGCGACACTTTGTTGGCCGGCAGACGCTGCTTCATGTGTCAATGATGGCTTCTCCATTCCCGTTGCAGCTCTGCGATGTGCGCCTGGAGGTGGGCGGCGACACCATCAATGCGCACCGCGTGGTGCTGGCCTCCGTATCGCCTTATTTCTATGCCATGTTTAATGGTAAGTGGCGCAGCTCACGAAGAGGGGAAGGGGAAATTTTAAGATCTTTTGCCACTTGCAGACGACATGCTAGAGCGCAACCAGGGCCTGGTGCGTCTGCACGATGTGGACAGCGCCGCGCTGCGTCAGCTGATAGACTACACGTACACGGGCGAGATTACCATAACGGAGCAGAATGTGCAGGTGCTGCTGCCGGCATCGGGTCTGCTGCAGATGCACTCGGTGCGGGATGCGTGCTGCAAGTTTCTGCTGCGGCAGCTGCATCCGTCCAACTGCCTGGGCATACGCAGCTTTGCGGATGCGCACTCCTGCAAGGAGCTGCACACGCGCTCGCACAAGTACGCGCTGCAGAACTTCCAGCAGGTGGTCGGCACAGAGGAGTTCCTGCTGCTGCCGTTCGAGGAGGTCAAGGAGCTGATATCGAACAGCCAGCTGAACATCAGCTCCGAGGAGAAGGTATTTCTGGGCGTGCTCAGCTGGGTGAAGCACGATCTCAGCCAGCGTCGCCTGCACATTGCCGAGCTCATGTCGCACGTCCGCCTGCCGCTGGTTAGCCGCGATTTCCTCATGAGCTGCGTCGAGGCGGAGACCCTCATGCGCGACGACTCCGAGTGCAAGGAACTGCTGCTGGAGGCCATGAAGTATCATCTGCTGCCGGAACAGCGCAGCCTGATGGGCAGCCAGCGCACCCAGGAGCGCCGGCCGGAGGGCATGAAGCCCTACATCTTTGCCGTTGGCGGCGGCAGCCTATTTGCCATACACAACGAGTGCGAGGTCTACAATCCGCGCTGCAACAGCTGGTCCCCCGTCGCGCCCATGCTGTGGCGTCGCTCCCGCTCTGGTGTCACCTCTCTGCACAAGCAGCTGTACGTGGTGGGCGGCTATGATGGCGTCAGCGATCTGGCCACCGCGGAGTGCTACAATCCGCTGACCAACAAGTGGACCAACATCACGCCTATGGGCACCAAGCGCAGCTGCCTGGGCATATGCGCCTACGACGGGCTGATCTTCGTGTGCGGCGGCTATGATGGCGCCTCATGTCTGAGCAGTATGGAACGCTATGATCCGCTAACGGGCATCTGGAGCTCCTGCCCGGCCATGAGCACGCGCCGGCGCTACTGTCGTCTCGCCGTGCTGGAGAATCAAATCTATAGCCTGGGCGGCTTCGATTCGACCAACTATCAGTCGAGCGTGGAGCGCTTCGATCCGCGCGTGGGTCGCTGGCAGCCGGTGCCCAGCATGACAGCGCGACGCAGCAGCTGCGGCGTCGCCTCCACCGATGGCAATCTCTACTGCATTGGTGGCAACGATGGCACCATGTGCATGTCCAGCGGCGAGCGCTTCAACTTGCGCCGCAACTGCTGGGAGCCCATTGCGGCCATGCACTCGCGCAGGTAAGCTTCCAGCTAAAGCAGGTAGCAAAGCGTGGAAATTATTAATTGACCCATTTGGCTTACAGATCTACGCATGAGGTGGTCGAGGTGGAGGGTGTGCTGTTCGCCTTGGGCGGCAATGATGGCAGCTCCTCGCTCAATTCCGTGGAACGCTACGATCCGCGCCTGAACAAATGGAGTGTGGTCAATGCGATGGTCGCGCGTCGCAGCAGCGTGGGCGCGGCGGTGTTGGAGTGCTTCCATTTGGAGCGCGGACTGGTGCAGACGACGAACTTATGACCCCCGCTGAGCAGCATCAGCGAATCTTTTGGCGCTGCCGCAGCGAACAACGCCAGCAATAACACCAACTCCAACAACAACAGCAGCAGCAGCAGCAGCAATGGGAACGGGAACAGCGGCACCTTGAACGTGCCCAGTCGCGCCGAGGCGGCCGCCTTTACAGCCAACATTGCTTTGAGCTCCTCGGCGCCATCGGCCAGCTCCACGCTGCGTCGCCATCGACGCGATACGCCCGCCCTGGCGGAGAGCCGGCGCGCCAATAGCAATGCCAGCAGCAGCAGCAGCAGCGACAGCGCCAGCAGCAGCGGCAAGACACCATCGACTGCCTGATCCTGGTCCATGTCGAGTGGACGACACTCTTAAGCAACAAAAAACAAAAAAATACACTAATCTACAAAGCTAACCCCAACGCGCCTACTGCAGGAATTATGATTGATTGTTCGAGTTCGTTATTATGGATAGATCCGATATGATATGGTAGATATATATATATACATATACAATACGGGAAAGTTAATGGCAGCACCTTAACTAAAGGGGCACCTTTTTGCTCAAAAACTTGATCGAAACACACGCAAGTTGCATTTAAAGTGAACGTATCCCACTTTGAGTACACATTATTCGATTGTTATGCTTATGCGTAGGCGGAGGAGCAAAGTATTCCATATACCAAGGAATAGATTCCATAAGGTCAGACCTCGATTTGAAGACAAATCGATATATTCGATTTACGCATAAGCATAACAATAAACACACACACACACACACACATTTCTAGTCAAGATCTCGCACGAACTTAAAAGAACTCCCAAATGTAACAGCTACAACAAGGAACCTAATCTGCCTACAATTTTTACATGTGAATCGTCTATACATACATATTAGAAATTATACTATATACACGACACCTCTCTTATGTACTATTCTTATGTATTTTATACATGCAATTAATATAATATTAAGTAAATGTTTCGTATTTGATGAAATGCCATCTGCAGTCAATCTTCTTGCTTTTGGATAGATAATTTTCATAAGGCCCTTATGTAGTCGTTTATATAAGTCTGTATTGTGTGTTCTTGCTTTGTTTGTACTGGGTTTGAATTTCTTGTTCTTTGTCTGGAAGCCAAAAATGTTGCAGCCATAATGTGATTCTTCATTCGTCAATTACATGATGCGTTCGGCGGTGCTGCGAGCTACATCGCCCACATTGGAGTCGCCAGCGGTTCCCATTTTGCGTGCGTCTAGCCAATTCTTGGGCAAGCCGGTGCCAACTGAAAAACGATGGGGTTTTTGAGGTTTTAGGATACGAGTCGAGCTAAAATGTATATAATCGATTGATTGATTTGTTTGAGGCTTGACAGTGTTTTCTCAATGCGCATTTATTAACAGTTTTCGTGGTGAGTTCTTGAATGGGATAAAACGCTAAATGCTGCGGCGATTTGGCCGCGTACTCGTCGCCCTTTGCCACACACTGTGTGTCCACGTCAGTTGATCGCGTGTTGTGCGTTTGCGCGGCGGCAACGATATGAAATGAAGCTGTTGCCGCCTGGCAAGACAACACGCAAGACAAGACGCGACGCAGACAGTGTGTGTGTGTGCAACAAATGGCGACGTCGCGTTCAGAGGTTATATAACTAAACGATACTTAGGCACTAGGCTTATATGTATGCAATTCGCGTTATTAAAAGAAGAAAACAATCGCATAGAATTAATTAATCAACAATTACGTAATGAATTAGCCCGCTTACTTAATCCAAATCGTTTAGAACTGCGTTGCGCGTTTCAAAAATAAGTAAAAAGAAAAGGAAAGAAGCGTAAACGAAGTGGATTGTGAATTGTGTGTTGGCAAAGAGAAAAAAGAGAGATTTAAGAAAACGTTACTCAAATACACGGTCTACATATGTCTAAAGTTTTGGCCAATGCTCGAAACCAAAAACAACAAATTTTCAGTTTGTTTCAATTTTCAACTTAAACGTTAACTCAATGACGAAACGAGTTATTTACTTTTGTAAACCTTCTCAGTCATGTCATCGAAGCCGGAGTCCTGAATGTTCAACATCAAGCTGTCGGCGGACAGATAAACCTTGTTCTGTGAGCTGGCAATCTGTTGGGCAAGAGATTCATTTATAATATCAGTTTGTCGGAATATTGTTATTTGATATATCTTACTGTGCGGGCAATGCTCTGGGCAGCACGCAGCTTGCGCAGCTTCAGGTAGGCTGGATTCTGCTTCACGGCCAGACCTAAGTAAACATATCAGTTAAGGTGCAAACCAAGTGCATACAAAATAAATGCCTAAAAAGTGTGCTAGAAAGCGTTTAGTTTTGTTAAAAGGATATCATTTTGGCTGCCTCGGCTTCACCCTCGGCCTGCACGATCTTCTGTTGTTTCTCCTGCTTGGCGCGCTCCACAAAGAAGACGGCCCGTTGTGCCTCCTGCTGTGCCACCTGCTTGGCCTCAATGGCCGCCGTGTATTCCTTGCCAAAGCTCAGCTCAGTCAGCGAAACATCATCCAGGATAATATTAAAGTCGCGCGCGCGCTCCACCAGCTCCTTGCGTATCAGCAGCGAGACCTACAGAACAAAGCTTATCATATACAAAAATGAAAGGAATTGATTTTGTCTTCTACACACCTGTTGACGCTGTGTAATCAGCTGGGAGGCATTGAACTTGGCAATGACACTCTTGAGCACCTCATTGCAAATGGAGGGCAGCACCTTCTCGTCGTAGTCCACGCCCAATTGCTGGTGCAGGAAGGGTAAGTTCAGCGAATCAGGACGCGACAGCACACGCAACGAAATATTAATCATTTGTAAATCCTTCGAGCCGGTGGGTGATGAAATTTTGCGGGGACGCGAGCGTATATCGTAAATAATTGGATATTGGATCCATGGAATGCGCACATGAAGACCCTCAGAGTAAATATCACTCTGTATGCCACCCAAGCGGCTGAAGATGATGGCGCGATGACCGCCCTCCACTGCAAACAGAAAGAGATACAACTTTTAAAGTTGTTGTTATGCAACCACGAGCAACGGGCAATGTGAAAGTGCTGGGCAAATTTCATCCCGAAGAACAATTCCAATTGGAGTCTGTCTACAACTCTTAAGTGAACCTCCGACAACAGAGAAGGAATGCATTGTGCAAGCGTCTTTATTAGTTACGAAATTCCATAGACACCGCTAGCACCCACACACACACACACACGCACAGCCGCATACAAAGGCTTTTTGAGGTTATGTGCACATGCCGCTACGTAAGTCGTGTTTTGTTGTTTTGACCCTAATTTTAAGCTGTTTGCCGTATATCTAAGAGCTTACCGGTATACAAGGATTGACTGACACCATAGGCTGCTGCGCCCACGGCAGCCAAGAGCTTCAGTCCAATTCCCAGGCCAGGTGGGCCACCTTTGCCCAGCTTGCCCGCTAGATCATTGAGTTTGCTTTGTGCCATTGTGTGTGTGCTATAAAAAAAAACTTATTGTTAATTCGCTTAAGAATTTGAAACAAACACACTTTGTTGAAATAAATGAAATAAAATGAGTTTTTCTTTATAATTGCTGTGCGAGCAAATCTTACGCACGTTATTTACTTGTGTCAGAAAGCAATTGGTATCGTTCCCATTCATCAGCTTATCGATGCTGCTGCTAAAGAGCTATCGATACCTGCTGCATAGCATATCGATAGTATCGCATCGAATAAAAATGACAACCCTACAATTGGAGCTGTTTTTCGCGCCTTGTTAAAATTTTCGCATTCAACAAACTATTTGGCATTACAATCAGTACGTTTATATATATTATATTGTTAAAATCACATATCATGTGTCACATATTCGTTACGTTGTGCATTTCATTGCGTCCGAAGTTCGTGTCGCGCAAATAGTGTACCGTGGAGTCGTTTATCAGCGACATGACGATTCCCTTCAGACCCAAAATGGATGCCAATTTGTATTTAAGTGTGACGGAGCGAATGAGCTCCACCAGCTGAGCCAGAGATTCCTCGTGTTTGGCACTCGATGGATTGTTCTGAGTGTGCAATATATACCTGAAATGGAACAAGGTCGTTCTAGTCAGGCGTCAGGTGAGTGCCGATTTCGCTTACCCCTTGACAACCTGCTCAATGACGTTATCATTGATGCGTTGATGGCCGCGGTAATCCTGCAGATAGCTGCGTCTTTGAAGCAACACAAACTGAGTTAGCAGAGCTTCGCTCCAGTTGACATCGTGACCATAGGCGCGACTCAGTATCAGGGTTTGGGGTACTCTATAGGGCGGTAGTTAGTCTTTTTTAGTGTTTCAATTTGAATCCCCTAAAAACCCACCTTAAATGGTTGTTGACCAGCTCACGGAATTGCTCCCGTGTTTGCACACCAATCACGCTGATGCAAAGCGGCGCCGAGCTGCTTGTGCCAACACCAGCTGCTCCGCCGCCGCGCTTCTCCAGCGCCTTGTTGCACAAATCCAGCTGCATGGCCACCAGTTCAGCGCGCGCCACACTCTGCTGGGAGAGAATCAGCTTGTTGTCCAGCAAATAGTTCTCGGTTGCATGCGTGAAAAACTCCAGCGCCTGTTGCAGCTGCTGTTGCAGCTCCAGGCTGACCTTGAGCTTGCTCGGCTCGGCTGCAGATGACGCCGCCGAGCGCACTCTATCCAGGATACTTTGCGCCTCCTGTGACCACATCTCTGCCAGCTCTTTGTACATAAGAAAATGATGGGCGGCCAGACGCAGCAGATCCTTGCCATTTTTGGGATTGTACTCGCGCAGATAGCCCAAGATAGCTTGTCGCAGACCGCTCTTCTGATCCTCGTCGAACTGGCCCAGTAGCGATTCGAACTGCTCGTTCTCGATGAGCGCATCGAAGCAGTAGAACATCTCACGATAGCGCGCAATCCCAATGAGCAGGCGCACGATAAGCGACCAGGACTTGGCCTTGGTCAGCTGTCCGTTGAGCAGCTTGGCGCGCTCCAGCACACTGGCAATGCCCTCCATGGAGCACTCGTGCACAAAGCACAAATGCGCCTTGATCAGCAGCTCCACATAGATTTGATTCTGTTTCTTGTGCGACAGCACTTGGGGTATGCCCGGTGAGCCAGGCACATTGCTGCTGCTGCTGCCGCTGTTGGGCAGGCCATAGAGTGTAATAATCCCGGAGAGACGCTCAAAGGCCGTGCTCTGCTCGTAGGGCTTGTTGTCCTGGTAGCGCCTGTAGGCCTTGAGTGCATCACAATAGTCCAGTAGACAGTTGCCCAGCAGCGTCGTATTGGGCGTTAGCTCCAGGAAAAGGTGAAAATCCCGATCAATATTGTGCCCCCAGAGATCGGCGTTGCGCGGCGCATTGCGTGGCTGTTGGCTGGCATGGAATATATAGAAACGTGGACGCACAATGCAAGTGGTCAGCTCCAGGGCCAAGGAGTCGGCAATCTGCAAAATTAAATTTATTTAGCAGCAGCATAAATTAGTGAACGAAGGACGCGCACCTCATGTGGGGTCAGACGCGTGGAGATGTGTATATCGCTGACCACCAACAGACGCTGCAGGCAATCCTCCTCGGCGGCGCTCTTGAGCAGCACGCTGACGTCCTTGGTGCGCAGCACATCCAAATACTCTTTGTCCAGATACATGGCCGCGCGATAGGACAGCACAATACGCCGACCCAGCTCGACGCCGTGCTTCAGCTTGGAGCCAATGCCCAGCAGTGTTTCCAGTGTTTGTTGTTTCTCCTTCGAAGGAATCTCCTCAAACTCGAGCGTGGAACAGCTGCCAGACAAGTCGCTGCTGCATCTGGTCATGGGACTCTGATTGAGCGTCAGTCGATTGAACTTGGGAAAGGCGCTCTTCTCGATGTCGCTTAGCAGCTGGCGCTCCTTGCTGGACAGATTCGCAATGCTGGTCATGCCCTCGGCCAGAGCCATCGCGAACACAATGAAGCGCAGATCATTGGGTCGAAATTCGAACAGCTCCTGCAGACGCAGTGCCTCTACAATATCGCCCTCGTCCAGCAGCATGTTGAGCAGCGCATCGAGCCGCTGCTCCATCTCACCTGTCAGCTGGGATTTGTTGGCTATGCTGAGATCATCGATGCCCGCCAGTTCCTTTAGCTCTGAGAAGGATTTGTAGAGAACACCACGTTCCTGTCGCATTATCTGCTCGAAGTACTCGGAATGATAAATGTCCACGGTCGTCAGCTGCTCCTGCTCCAGCTGCAAATAGCACAAAACCATATCATACTCAATCTGATCCCGGTCGAAGCATTCGTTGGGGAACAGATGGTGCTGCTTGATGACGCCCAGCGCGCTCTGCAAGAGCTCGTAGCGACGACGCAGCTGAGACTCCGGCTGCTGGGCGGCAGCCTGCAACAGAAAGTTCACCAATATGGCCGGGGGTAGGGCATGCTGTGCAATCTCTTGCTCGTACTCCTCGTGCAGACGCAGCTGACCCGCCTCCAGCTCGGCCAGCCACTTGACATAGACAATGTCCGCCAGCGGCAGCTGCAGCAGCGACGCCAGCTGCAGCGCTTGGTCATAGGCCTTGGCCTCCGTCAGCGCATCCACCAGACGTTTGTATTCCGCGCTATCCCGCCGCACCAGCTGCTCGTAGTTGATGCCCAGCTGACGCAGCCAAGGCGCTGCCACGCCAAATATGCGATGCAGCAGGCAAAAGTCCAACAAATCACAAATGTCGCCCACATCCGAGCGGCAGATGCAGTCGAGAAACTTTTGCTGCTGCATAACGCAGTCGAAGTTGGCTTCGAGCTGAATGAGCAGCAGTCCAATGCAGCGCTGCAGCAGCTGTTTGCGCGCCAGTGGCTCACAGAGCGGCAGCTGCACTGCGTCCTGGCTCCAGCTGCAGAAGAATTGACGCAGCTCCACAATGGTCGCGTCGCTAAAGTCCTGCTGCTGCGCGGTTAGCTGCAGGAAGTGACACAGGTGCACGAATTTGCAGTGCTGCAAGGGGAATAGGAAACTATAATTATGGATCTGCGGGAGAGGTGGGGAGAGGCAACCACTCACCGGCTGAAAGATGCAGAAGCTGTGCAGCAACGCATTCAACTGACCCCCGCTGACAGCGCCACGTATTACCAGCCAAACGAGCTCCGTTTGCTGCTGCGGCTCCTTGGACTTGGTGACCGCCTGGAGCAACTGCAGCCACTGGCCACTGGCCACGGCCAGCCAGAGCAGCCAGCACCAGTCGCGATTGTGCTCGCTCAATGTCGCCGCGAGCACGGCCAGCACGGGCATCTGCTGGCGCACGCAATGCTTGAGCAGATTAATGCTGCTGCAGTGCTGTGCGCTGCTCTGCATAAGCTCCATGAATCTGGCCATGCTGCCGATGCTCTCCTCCGGCAGGCTGTTGCTGCTGCAGAGCACCAGGGCAAACAAATCCTGCTGTGCATTGTGCGTGAGCAGGCTGCACAGCGACTGGCCGGCATCACGCTGCAGCTGCTGCAGATTGGCATCCAGTCCAGAGCTGTGCGACGAGTTGGTCATAGTTTCTTGCGAGGAATTGGTTTGTCCATCGCTGCGACGATTGCCGGCGCGCTTGTGCTGCCGTTCGTGGATGCAGTCGTAGCTGAGCGCCCGCAGCAGATGCACGCCCAGCGCGCCGCACTTGAAGTGCGGCAGCAGCTGCTTCAGCTCGCTGAGCGGCAGATCGAAGTACTGGAAGAGCAGCAGCAGCTGCCACCAATCGTTGCGTGCCGCAAAGTGTTGCAACAGCGCCGAGGGCCATTTGCCTTGGACATTGCGTGCCGCCAGACGCATCAGTGCCTGATATGACTCCAGTGGAAACTGCTCGGGCGTGGCCAGCAGTTGCTGGACCAGCGCCTGATCCCAGTGCTGCAGTTGGCTCGTGTAGCCGCCGGAGACGCCTGTTGCCGGCAGCAGGCGCTGCAGATGTAGGAAGCTGCGCAACGTTTGCGTATCGAAGTCCAACATTTCACAGCAGGCGACGCAGTGCGTCACGAGCTCCTCATCGCCCGCATGCTGCAGCGCCAGCTGTGTGGCCGTCTCGCAGGCGTGGAACAGCTGTGTGCGCGTGATCTGACCATACAGCTGCAGCTGCTCCATGAGGAAATAGTATACGGCATAGGCGCTCCTCTGCTGCTTTAGATAATGCGTGTAGTTCAGCTGCGCCTTGCTCGCATAGCGTTGACTCAGACGCGCATTCGAGAAGCTAACCAACTCGCCCTGACCCGCCGCCGCCGCCAGTGTAGCAAAGTTGACCTTCTTGAACTTGTGGAACAGCTCGTGAGCGCTGGGCACCGCAGTCGAGCTGCTCGTGCCATGATGCTCAAAGCGCGCCATCAGGGAGTTCAGGTACGGCACTCGCCGCAAATTGCTGGAGGAGAGAAAACCCTCCAAAGCACGTACACTGGGCTCATGGCAGAGGAAGTCATAGAAGGTCAGCAGTGGCTGCTCCTGCAGCGACTCGGCGCCATGGTGAGTGCGCTCCAGATAGCTCTGAACACTCTTGGATATCTGCGTGGATAAAAAAGTGGAAGCATTAAGAATACTCTAGTCGATTTCCTGATAGATGCCCGACGAGGCCGACGTACTCACCATTTCGAAACCCTCGCGCTGCATTAGGTCGTGTGTCTTGAGATCGATTATTAGTGTCAGCAGCGGCTCATTCTCGCCCGCCAGCTGCTCCAGCGCCGAGACGGGCACACAATCTAGCAGCAGCAGGGAATGGTAGCCACGCTCTAGCAGATGACACGCCAGTGGTTGGCGGCTGAGCAGCTCCTTGTGCTGCTCCAGGCACTGCATTGTGCACAGGCGACGCAGCAGCGTGGACATGTCCGAGGATTCAGCTGGAAAAAAATAGCCAGCGCGGGCAAAGAAATTGCGCAGTAGCTCACATGGCTGCTGCAAGTACTCCAGGGCATATTCATACATGAGTGGCTCAATCTTCCAGCGCACATAGGCCTGCTCCAGTGGCCGCAAGTCAGCTGTGCCGGCCGCAGCCTCCTGGCACCAGCACCAGCGACGCAGTCTGTCCAAACGTCCAGTGTCTACCAGATGCTGCCACACCAGCTGCTTGTTCAACTCCGGCAACAGTGCTTCATTGCCATTGGCAAAGTAGAGTTCAACAATGAGCAGCTGCAGCGTTTGCTCGGGCAGCGTCATCAACGCCTCGATGTGAACTCGTGGCAGCAGGGCCTGGTGCCGGGCCAGCAGGTCGCTGCACTCGCGCAGCTGCTGCACCAGGGACCAGTAATACGCCAGCACAGGCTGCTCCTGCTCGAATAGCTGCGGCTCACGGCAGCGCAAATGATCCAGTACAAACTCACTCAGATCCGCATCGTCGCATTCGCAGGCATATTGATAGAAGAAGCACTTGACATCGCGCTCCACATTGTGCAGCACGTTGTCCGCCTTGCAGACGAGCCGCTCGGAGAGCAGACGCTGCACATAAGCCTGTACCACATCGTAAAAGTAATGTCTGTATTCTTGAACTGGTATCTTTCGCTTGCCAGCCCAATATTCCATGCACAGATCGATGTGCTCGCCCTTGGTGGCCACCTCCTTGATGATGGACACCTCGCTGATGCCTGACCAGCTTTTGAATATCTTATTCCGTGCCTGGGCCGTATGCATTGTGTATGGGCGTGTCTCGGTGCAGCTTTTCACATTTTCACAGAGTTCGGTGCAAAATTGTTTTCTTTGTTTTCAACAAGGCAATCAACAGATATGTTTTTTATCTGCTTTGAAATCAGCTGCGGGCGGCACAGCGTTGCCACCTGGCCAATGAGTACTTTACAGTGAGTACTTTTTGAATTGTGGCGGCAGTCGCAACTCATGTGTTGTCAGCGTATCAACTTTCCATACTCAAGCCTGCCATTTGCAGTTTTTGTTGGTAATTGAATAGCCCAGGCAATGTCCTTGCCTTGCCTTTGTATGAAATTTAATAAATTGCAGGAAACGACAGCCGCTACGCAAACAAGTTGCCTGGCAAAGTTCAAGCCACACGTAGGGCTTGAGACCACACACACCAAAAAAAAAAAGAAGACACAAAAAAAAAAACGACACAACAGGCAGAAACAGCAAAATGCCTGGTTTTGCTTAATGTTTTCATGTTTGGGGCCTTTTTCTCTCACTTTTCGCTAGAACAAATTGTACGTACACACTACAAGTGTGTGTGTGCGTGTGTGTGTGTCGTGTGTGTGCGTGTGTTTAGATTTGCAACAGCCTGCTTACAACATCCGCTTACAAATTTGGGTGTGCCAGAATAAATCAGCTTACAGCATATTACAAGTGCCGAGTGGGCAATTTCCCGGAATGTCACATTTTTACAAGATCCCAAGACGACGTTTCTAACAAGAATTATGAATCGAGCAAGTGGATGCGGTTTATTTTTTTTTTTTGGGGTGCCATTAATAAATTTCACACGACTGTTTTACATGGCATTTGGACGTAAAAACGTTGCTCAGCACTAAACCCAGTGTGAGCTTATAGGCCAAGTTGCGTAAGCTGATATTCTATTTTGTTTTTCTCTAGTTTTATGCAGCAGCATAATTATTCTTCATATTGTTTATGAGCCAAGCAAAGGCTCGAGCAATGCTGCCGCTTCTTGTTGTTACCGTTTTGGCCACTTAACAAATAGTCGAAAAGCTTTATGGGTTTCAACGCTCTGCAGTTTTGTTTATAAGCGGGTGACTTGGCTATCCAAAGCAAACCGGTTGTCCCTGCTTCAAACACCCCGTCGTTGGCCCGCACTCGCTGTGATTTATAGTTACGCACAAGCGCGCAAATCCAATTAGACGAACCGACTGACTGACTGACTGGCTGATGGACGGACTGACTGACTGACTGACGGACTGACTGTAGCCCGCGGCCAGATAGAGTCACAAAATGCCGCCAGGCCAGAGGACGGTCGCAGTCCAAAAATGATGTCTCACATCTCCTCTTGCCATATAAATATCATTCAAATATGTACAGTGAACGCTGCACTAAAACGGACAAAAACGCATTTTTGCTTGAACAACTTTTCCTTGCAAAAAACATGCCTGACACGAACCACATTCAATTTTGAATCATCTTTTTTTTATTATACAAATAATGATGCATTTTATATATGCATTTATTTCTACGACATATCTTCTCTTAAAAAGGACCACAAACTGTTGTTCGCTTAGGGGAGCTTTCACTGTACTCAAACGTACATAAAAATATATTTTAAGTAGATTCGGGTCACCCGCTGCAACTATGTTTTTTTTATTCGATTTCTTACATCATCGCGGAACTGTGTCGCCCCGCGCCAACGTGGCGCGTGGCGGGAGGGCGGCCTTTTGTTGCATTTTGAATATCAAAGAAAAACTGCAGCATCTTTATCTAAGAGCTGAGAGATACATGTGTGTGTGTGTGTGTCATAGTACCAAAGGCATGCCGGGCAGTCTCTGCGACTGTTGCATGCAAATTTCAGCATATGGAGCAATGGTGATGACGTCATCGGTGGCGCTCAATTGAAATGCAACGTGGCAGCTGCCCGACGACAATTGCAAACAAATTATACAACATACTGAAAAGGGCTCTGAGCTCTGATTTTGACCGTTGCGTTTCCCACGTCCAAATGCCTTTGATTTCATATCAGCAACTGGAACTGGGTGTGTTTCGCTTGCCAGCGTTTTGCACCTGAATGCTTAAACAGCGAATGCGCCCGCATCCGCTCCGCCCTCCTCCCACTCCCAATCCCACAGCGTAACCTTCAGCTTGGCCCAGCAGCTGTTTGCTTAGCCTGTGGGAAGTGGAGGGGGGGGGGGGGGGGGGGGGCTTTTCCAATGGAAAGTCGAGCCAGTTTAGGTCAGCTGTAAGAGCTACCAATACGGATTTGGTAACGACTGCTTTTGGCCCAATGGACAATAGACAATAACTGATTGATAGTCGCGGCACATTCCATGCTGCCTCTGCCTCTTCTCACCCGCCCGAAGCAGGGCCAGCGTTAAACTTGTTTTTGTTTTGCAAACCGCACAAATAAACAAATGTGTGCGCCCACCAAAAAAAGAAAAGCAGAAAAAAACCGTGATGATTAATTGGCGAGGAGCTCCGTTCGAGGCGCGAACCCGTGTGCGTGTAGTTGGCATTAACTGTTTGGACCACAAGCCGGCAACAAAAGCTGGCGGCCGAACAGATGCTGATCTCAGCGAGACATGTTTAGCCGCAAAACTACCCCGGGCTGGCTTGTGAACTTTAGGCCCAGTGCATGGCATCTAACGAGCGCGCGTGCTTTTGGCCTTTATCATTTAAAATCGGTTAACGAACTGTGAGAATGGCAAACGAAAGTTGAGAACTAGCCGAGAACCGTTGATTATTGTTGATATTTGGGCTCTTTTTTATCTATTGTATTGTATTTTTTTGCGCTGATGTTTTTGTTTTTTATTGTGGCAATTTGCATGTTGCCACCTTTCGCTTGTACCGTTACGGCAGCGGCGACATGCTGCAGCCCATGGCAATAATGCCTTATAAGCATGGCACATACATAAATTAAATGGCACAGAATGGGCTCATTAGCACCTGATTGACACGGCCAAAGGAGACTGGCCATAATCATAATTGGGCACAAATATTGGCCTAAATCATTTTGTGTGCAACAACGTTGGTGGTCGCTCTGCTTCTTCTTCATTTGCTTTTGCTTAATTGGAAGCGACTTGCGCTGAAAATCAAAAGTGCCAACAGCAACAACAACAACAAACGGCAACAAACGGCAACAATAAGAAGAAGCAGCACATAAATCAACTTTGAAGTGCAGCGACGCAGCAGCAGCAGCGCAGCAGCAGCAGCTCAGCCTTAGCTCGGCCTTGCTTATCAACGTTTCCTTCATTTTGCTTTGCCGCTTCTCGCTGCGTTTCTTTTTGTTTTAGTCTTTACTTTCTTTGTTTGCCTTTTGTCCGCACGAATTTTGGCTAAGTGCAGCCATAGCCGCTGTTGCTGTTGCTGTTGCTGCCGCTGCCAGCGTCGCAGTCGCCGCAACAGGTTCTCGTTGTCGTGCTTGTTCTTGTTGTTCTTTAGCAAGAACTGGACGCATAGCACGCGCAACAGGTTCTGTCCAATGCCTGATTAAGTGGCGAGCGAGCGAGTGCTTGACTGCCAGTGCATGTGTGTACGTGTGTGCCTGTGCTTGCTTGTGTGTGTGTGTGTGTGTGTGTGTGCATGTGTAGGTGCCTCTCTCGCACACTCTCAGCAGCTCTAAGCATACGCACACATTGACGCGCGGTATTGCAGGCGCGCTCACCGACAGCTGAGATATACTGAGTGACTTTCAATAAAAAAAAAATACCTGTTTTTGTTGCTTTTGCTATTGCTATTGGTTTGCTCTGCTCTCTGCAGGCAGACCTCTATGATAAGACTGACCCCCATTAGAAAACGTTTTTACCAAATGGAATTGCCACTCTTGTCCAGCATATTGAGAGCAGCGTTCAAATTTCCACTGGGGTTTTTGACAGCCAGCGCAGCGCAGGTAAAGCAGACTTAAGATTTGTTTGTGTATGTGCGCTCCCTCTCTCTCTCTCTCTCTCACGCTCTTTCTCGTGCGCTGCTTGTGGCTTGCGTGGCCGAAGAAAAACATTTTCGCAATTGCCGCTGCGAGAGCGTGTCTCCGTGTGTGCATGTGTAGGTGTTGGACTCTGACTCTGACTAGCCGCTGCTGCCGTGAGCTTTGCCTGATCGTGCCTCTGTCTCCAGTGTCAGTCCACTTTTGGCTCTCGTATCGTGCAGTTAGCAAGCAAAAAAGTACATGCCGCGTTCATTGGCCGCGCGTTACGTGTCTGTGTGTCTAGCTGGTGTGTATGCGTGCCTGTGTGTCTGAGCGCACCATGCAATTAATTCAAAGAAAATTAATATAGAAAAAAATTAATTTTCGATTCTCTGTTTACATTCGGTTCAATAATTGATGACAACTCTTAAGCAGCCAGCCTGTGTGTGTGTGTGTGCTGTTACATGAGCGTGTGTGTGTGTGTGTGTGTGTGCGAAAGTGAGTGAGTGTAAAGTGAAGCAGCGGCGACCATCACGCGTCGCGCTAGCAAACAAAAGTGCAACAACAAAAACAACAAAACCAACAACTGCAAGAGCGGCCGCAACACGAAACGGCATATTAAGCACAAAAGCGCGGCGTGTAAAATGTGCCTGAAAAATTACAAAATTCAGCAAAAATAAACAAAATAAAAAATTTAATAATTGTATAATAAAACAATAAAGAAAAAGAGTGCAGCACAGCCTTCAACGTGCACATTTCTTCCGCTTACAACAAAACTGCTTTTGCTGATTCTTCTGCTGCTGCTGCTTCTTCTTCTTCTTCGCCCTCATCTAGCGGGTGGCAAGAAGCTTCTGCTGCTGCTGCTGCGGCTGTTTCTTCTTCTTCGCCAACTCCATCTTGTGCTTTGAGGCCAACAAGTTTTGCTCAAGCTGATATTTTGTTGTTGTTGTTGTCCCCACCCTCCCCTCGCACAAGCAACATTTTCCTAAGGCAGACCAGTTTTTGGCGGCTGCATTTTGCCATTTTCCGCGCTTCAACTGCAGCTCCAAGCAGAAGAAGAAGAGGCAGCGGAACCGAGGCGGAGCACTGGCTGAGAGCAGCAGCTGCTGCTGCTGCTGCTGCTGCCGCCCCATTGGCAGTTGCACTTGGGAAAACTCTTCCCAGCCATATAAAGCATACACATATTTGCACACAGCCCCATAACAAAGGC